GTTTGCCGTCTCTTAACCCCCCCCCCACCACCCCCACGTCCCTCTTCCCCGCCCCCTGTGCCATTTTCCTCGGCCTGGCGTGGTCTTCACGCTCCGTGACACCCGTGGCGGATGTGGCCACGTGGGCATGATGACAAATCATGGGTGGCAGCTTTCTCCCTCCCTGTCTGTCCCCTCCGTCCCTCCCCTCTGCTCGAACCCTTTTTCTGTCCCTTTCCCTTAGTCGCTTCACATCTGAGGTCGCAAGGGCACTTTCGGCGCATAAATTAAGTGCTTTATATAAGAAAGCAGAGAGGGGGACTTTTTACAGGAAAAAAAAATGACTTATAAAAGAAAGAGCCTGGAGTATTTTTGGAAAAAAAAAAATATTTTTATGTTAAAACAATTTTAAAATCCCAAAATGGCCATCAGACATAGAGAGCTTTGTGTGATTCATATTTTAAAAACGAAAACGTTTGACAAGAAGACACAGGCAGAGTCGGAGGTAGCTTGCCCTTTCCCTCCTGCAGCATGGAAAGTGGCCGGCAGGTGAGGGGGAGAGGCGTCCAAATCAACAGCGTGGTCCCTTCACGCGTCTTTCCGGGCGGCCCGAGGGGCCATCACCAGGGACACGCTCACCGGAAGGCTCCCAAGGGCCACTCCGCCTACTGGCAGAACAAACACTGGAGGAAGACATTCGGCCCTGAAGATGAATTACTCCCTAGGTACAGCGTCACCTACCGCTTCCGCTGGCTTTATCATTTCTCTCTGTCCAGAAACAGAGATTTTTTTTTCATGATGAATCTTTCTACTATTTTGTCAAAATTCTACCCAGCTCTGTGTCCCTGGGACAGTTTCCTTTCACTGTATCTGGTGACCTCTGTACGCTTGTCAGTGTACACCTGGCCCTAACAGTGGCAGAGCAGATTGGAAGCCGCGCCTCTTCCTGAGAGCTGAGGAAGGGCCCTGGGCATGGCCGGTGGCGGTGGATTGTGCTCTCCGCCCAAGACAGTGTTTTTATTCCGAGTGGTGTCCATCCACTGAGCCGGAAGTGAAGGGTGAGGGCCTCGCCCAGCTCAGGATGTGTGGGACCACGCACGCAAGCCACTGAGCGCCGGGGGACCCCTCAGACCAGAAAGGGTCGTGTTTTTTTAGTGGAGTATTGGATTTGGACTCTGTTCCCTAAACAGTCAACAAAGAAAGCCAAAGTCCTGTGAAGTCACCGGTCCCACCGTCTTCAAACATAGCAGGTGTTCTCGCTCCGAAGATTCATCGGCTTTGGGATGCAGGCTGTTGCGGGGCGGGGTCCAGACAAGCACCACCTTTAGCGCTCCCTGGATGAAGATGCGTTCATCACCACGGAGTCTCCGCCGCCCGCTGTCAGCCCGTCGTCGGGATAAGGCTTGTGTGGCTCTGCTGTGGGCGGGGATGGGGATGCCTATCAGGGATTCGCTAGACAATCCGGGGCCGGCGTCTCACCGAAGTGCTGGCCTAGGCCTGCCCAGGGCTGGGAGCCCTGGCAGAGGGACCACTCACGTCCCGTACTGTCCGTCAGTACAGCAGAGCATGGGCCGGAGGGGGACCAGGCCAGAGAATGTTGCTGCTCACACCCCGGAAGTCCATCCTGCTCTCGGCAAAGTGACAGCTGCGGGCCGAGTCCAGAGCTGCCACCTTTGCACTCTGCCGGTCACCTGGCCACCACAGCCCGCACGTTCAGCTCTGCAGTCAAGGGCCCTGTGCGTCGCGTTGCCCGGCCCTGTCTACAGCTCTTAAAAGAACTGAGGGGTGCTTTAGTCTCGGTGACCAAATGTAACCTTGAAGGCAGACATGTGTGACCACAAGCCACGTCCAGCACACGCCTGGGAAAGAGAGGCCGCCCCTCAGCGGACCGAAAGGGCCACAGGGACGATAGAGGGTTCAGCTCCCCGAGCCTGCAGGACACTGACGCCGTAGGACTTGACCTTTTGTTCTCTTTTTCAGTATCTATCACGGAGCCAAGTCAAGTGCACTTTGTCCAGTGTAAGGATCTGCTTCGTTCCTTGTTATATTTTTCTTTTTAAACCTCTCGTTCCACCTTTTTTTTTTTTCATTGTGTTTCCTGTCAAATGCAGAAATGTTTCTTCCGCCACTCACTGAGGTTTTGAATTCTGGCTTCTGCAGTTTTTATTGTCTGTGTCAGACATACAGCCAGACGTGCTTCTCCATCAGCATTTTCCAGATTCTGTTCAACATGGACCCGGCCCTCCGTTTCGTTCTGTGCCCCCACCCCCACGCATCCCTCACGCTCTTGGAGGAAAAACAAAGTCACCTCGTGTGTCGTAGTTCATTTGTTTCCAGAGAGAATCAACAGATCATACTCAGTGTCTTGAATAAATTGCTCTATTTTGATATTAGAGAACTTGGTGGCTGTGTTTTTTGTTGTTTGTGGGTTTTTGTTTCTTTTTTTCTTCATCCTGCTCTGTATTTTCTGGGCCCACGTCAACACTGGCGATTAAACAGATGAAGGTGATGAAGGCAACTCTGCGTTTTCTCAAGGCACAAATAACCTGAGCTCTCTGCTCAGTGGGGGTCGGGTGGTGGATGCCACGAGTGACAGTGTCAGGCGAGGCCCAGTGCCGCTGCGTCCAGAGAAAGGCACAGGGACGTACTGCACAGCGGTGGGGCCAGTTGGATCCCGCCGTTAGGATCACAAACAGGGACGTGTACACAGACTAGAACGAAAGGGGCTTCATCCTAGCTGGACTGTGCCCGGTGTATCTCAAGCTGGTATCAGAGTCAGGCACAGTCCTGTAGCCAGGGTCCAGATGTAAAGCTTCGTCCTGGTGGTTCTGTCTTTGTGTGTTTCTGAGGGCACCCGCACAAGACAAACCAGCCAGGGTTACTCTGCAGCAGACGGGACAGCCGCAACCCAGGATGACCACGGTCGGGTCAGGGTGAACCCACAGACCTGCACAGCGACCCTGGCTGTTCTAGGTCACCGCCTACAGGGAGCCCGTGTTTCCCCTTTTGACTGTTTTTCCTTAAAAGGCAAAGCAAATGCATTTTTGCTTGTTAGCAGGTCGATATGCTGAGAACTTCAGGTCAAGGGTGAGTCCCACATACACTGAAGGACTCCAGTTGTTCATGAGGCAAAGGTGATTTGGGCACAGGATTGTGGTACAGTGTGAACCAACACTCGGCAAATGTTTTACACGTCTGCTCAGTGCCTGACCCTACCACATTTTCACCGACACCGTGTTCATGCTTTGGTGAGCACGTGGCCCTCTGAGCGGACGCGGACTGGAAGGGACAGGCAGGACAGCAAGGTTCTCATGCGAGGACAGACCAGGGCTGGGGTCCACCCCGGCTCTGTGGATGGCCGCCTGGGAAGTGTCCCGGAATGCCTGCCCAGCGGGGTTTACCTGTGTACGGCTTGGACTCCAAGAGGGGCCAAATCGAAAACGCTGCAAGCCGCCGAATGCCAGAGGCATCCTGAGAAGCGCTTCATCAGACGTGGTAATGTGACCGTCAGAGCTTGCAGAGACCTACCCGGTCTCACCTACCGCACACCTAGGCTGCCTGCAGACCAGGATATATACACAGGCACCGCGCCTGCCTGGCCAGCGCAAGGTCCCGAGTTCGGTCCTGGGTACCAAGGGAAAAATAACACCTAGGCTTTACGGGACAGACAGACAGGAGGGAGGGAGACAGAATAGGCCGTTGCCCTTGGGAGCCATGGTGAAGGAAACAAAATTAGATCGTGCACAAGAGAAAAGGAAGCCGTGAAGAGATGCAGAGCATTTCAGACTGGTCCACGCAGTTTTCACCGTTAGGAGAAAGCCTACTCCCGCTGTTGTGCAGGTCTGCTTTTTTGGCTTTCGCTTTCTCCCACCCCCTACCAAGTTGACCACACATGCTTCCAGGTGGTAAATTTGGGGTGAACTTTTGAACACCCCAAGACTACTTCAGAAGCCATAGGAAGCCTGGGTGGACCCTTAAGCGGGAGGCAGGCCTAAAGCAGAACTCACAGCAGAGCACCCAGGACGCAGAAGCACGGCTGTGACGTGGATCTGGTGGCCGTGGCTACGGCACAAGCCACGTGTGGCTGTAGGGATTTCCGTCTGCTGTGGAAGATCTTACGGCTCCCAATCGCTGTGCCTGTCCTTGGTCTCACAGCTGTGTTCACCAGTGCATGCTGGCCACTGATTACGAGGGATTGGTTCCCGCTGATGAAAAAGCGGGCACCACCTAGCGGAGTGCGTGAGACAGGAGGTGGGGGACAGACCAATGCCTCGGGTTGACTCCGGATCTGACGGGACAGATTTCTCCACTCCAGGTGCTGTGTCTCATCCACAGCAAGGTAAGCGAGGCCAGAACATGCAGTTTTATTAAGGGAGGGCCAAGGACCAGCGGGGAGCACGTGCAGATTGGGATTTGGAGGGCTGATCTAGTGGTGCACACCTGTCTTCTGGGCTCTTGGGAGGAAGCTGAGGCGGGAGGGTCACCAGGAGCTCTAGGCCAGCCCCAGCCACAGAGTCGAATTCAAGGCCAGACTGGACTACATCAGTGAGACCTTGCCTCAAAAAAAAGGGAGAAAAGAAAAAACTTTGGTAATGAACAGAGCTTTCCTCAAGCAAAAAGCCATACACACTCCATGGGAAAATGGCCAGGTAGACGCATCATGTTAGAACCACACAATTGTAGGTGACGGTGATAACTTCCTATGAAATTAGGCAAAGAAGGCAGCTAGCTACTAAGCAGTTTTCCATAGCTGCGAATAAACTGACTGGTAAACGGCCAATCGACTACAGCCCAACAGACACTGAGGCACAGTTTCGCCTTCCCCCAGCCGCACGCCCCAGCTCCTCGCAGATGGTTCCAAGCCCTTGGCTGTAGGGCGCACACACCTCCCGCTGCAAGAATGTCCCTCCTGAGGTTACCCTGCAATCACCATGCCTATCAGTTCTCACCTTGGCATCACTCCCCACAGCCTAACATACACTAGCATCTCCCTTTCTTTTGCCATACTAGGGATTGAACCCGGGGCCTTTGCACTGAGCTACATCTCTAGCCCTTATTTATTTTAAGACAGGGTATCACCAAGTTAACAAATTGTCCAGGCTGGGCTTGCCCTTGGTGACCGTCCCGCCTCAGCCCCCCAGGGTACAGGGATTACTGGTGTGCAGCACCATGCCAGCCTCAGCATCTGCTACCTTTAAAACAAGAACAATAAAAGGAAACACAGACATCCCCCTGTAGCCTCCAGCCTTACAGCTAAATGGCTCAAAGCCAAGGCCAGCTAGCCAGCTCGCACTATCACCTATGTTTGCCAAAGCATTGCCTCCTCTTCTCCTGAATTCCCGGGCATCACACAGCTCTGAAGTCTGTGCTTCTGTCCACAATGCCTCTGTGCCATGAGAAGGTGTCTGTCTACTCGCACCCCTACCTGCACCCATCAAAGCCAACATACAACAAGCATCCACTGGAGGCCTCATCCCCAGCCAGGCAGTGGTTTTCACTGGACATACGTGGATCGGGGTTCTTATTTGCAAGCCTCAGAACCTGTCAGGCAGCAGCAGCCAGAGAGAACGCAGAGGGACATCAGGCAGCTCTGAGACTCTGGAGAAGCAAGTTAGAGGCCTCGCCGACAGAAACAGCCAAGATCAGCTATAGGGCTGGTTCTTTTTTGTTGTTGTTTTTGTTCTGTTGTTTTGTTTTGTTTTTGTTTTTTTTTTAAGACAGGGTATGTAGTTGAGACTGACCTGGAACTCACCATGTAGTCCAGGCCGGTCTCAAACTCACAGCGCAGCAATCCTCCTGCCTCAGCCTCCCGAGTGCTGGGATTACAGGTGTGTGCCACCAAGCCCAGCCAGGGCCGGTTCTTGAAGACCATAGGCAGGCAGGGCTGCCCACACCCTGACACTGTACGATACCCACCTCGCGAAGCCCACCTGTCAGCTGCCAGCACCCTTTAGAGGTGACCACAGCCGGGTCCCTTCAGCACTGCCTCATGAATCCAGCTTGGGAGATCCTTCTGATTGGCTTGGCCCAATCCCCTGCCTGGCTCTAGCTGCAAGGGAGGCTGGCAACACCAGCAGCTCATCTCTGCTTCCAGAACGAAACTCCCAGAGGAGGGGCCTCTGAGGCTGGTGGCAGAAAGAACACTGCTACCACACTTAGAAATGTGGCTGCCGGCCTCATGTGGCAACCTGATGCACACCTGTAATCCCTGCTACAGCAGAGGGTGCAGCAGGAGGGTCCTAGGTTTGAGTCTAGCCTGAGAAATTTAATGAGACCCTGTCTCAGAAGTTAAACAGGGCTGGAAGTGCAGCATGCACATATCCTGGGCTCCTCTCTCTAGCACATCAGTGAAAGCCAATGCAGTTGCCTCCTCAGAAATCAAACTCTTTCACGTCTCCCTGAGGCCTCCGACTCGGGTCCGTGTAGAAGACAAAGCCATAAATGGCAGCATGTGCAGAGACAGGTAACAGATGATCTCGGTAAATGGAATGATGGAGATAGCACCAAGGACCCAAGCTAGGTCAGCTTCTGGGACGGCATAGACACCTAGGGACCCAAGTGGCGCCCCCTGCAGGGAGTGAGAAGCACAACTCCACCATGCTGGGCCTCGCAGCCTCACAGAGGAGCGTTTGTTCCCCAGGGACAGAGTCCAAGTCAACCTGGAGCAATCACAAAGACTTTATTTAACTGCTTTTCCAAGACTGGGGATCTTATACTGGATGCTACACCCAGCCTCAGAAAAGCGGGCAAAGGGCGGAGAATGGATTCTTATTGCCACACACCTGCTCACGGTTCTTCCGGCCGCCAAAAGGAAGAAGCTGGGGTGTGCTGACCTCGGCCGCCTGGGATGAAAAGCCAAAGATGCTAAAGACTAAGAAGAGTCTGAGGGCGATGGGTCTGGAGCCTGTCACTCCCACTCACAGGTCTCCATGGGCTTGGGGGACAGCGTTCAGGACATTTCCACCACGGGACCCACTTGCAGTGTGGATTTCAATGGTGCTGGCATCAGAACCTGCAGGGCAGGAGAGAGAAGGCTGATGGGGCCTCTGGCCAACCCAGAAAACTCTTGCTGGGCATGGTGACACACGCCTGGAATCCCAGCACTGGGGAGGCTGTGGCAGGAGGATCACAGCAAGTTCCAGGCCAGCTTGCGCTACACAGTGAGTGCAAGGCCAGCCTGAACGACACAGCAAGACCCTATCACAAAGAAAAAAAGAAACCCCACAAAACAAGCAAATGCTCTCAGTTCTCAGCAACACAATGAGATTCTCCTAAAAGAGCTCTGGCTCAAGTCTTGGCTCTGTGTCATCCACAGCACACTCTGATGCAGCTCTTCTTAAACCCTTCCTGGGGTTGGGCAAGGTCCCACAGGTTTGTGTAGAGAAGGGTCATGGTGCTGCTGCGGAAACCACGGTGGCAGGTGGCGGATGGCGGAGGTCTCAGGGCCCTGGGATGCGAGCCGCCTGATCCCAGGCAGAGTGCGCTGAGGAGCACTGGCCACAGGAAGGAGGCACTCAGTCTCAGCCCCTGGCTCTGCCTGTGGGAAGCGTGGGGACTAGAAGGCCACTGAGGGCCAGGAGACAGCGGTTGCAGCTGGGAGCCGTTCGCCAAGCCAGCTTTTCTGCCGTGGACACAAAAGTGGGACCCTGGACGCGATGACAAAGTGACGAATGATGCCGAACGTGCGTGTCCAAAGCGGTACATTCCTCGGGCCCGGGGCTCAGAGGATGGGCTTATTCCTCAGTTTCCCCTTTTCCCCATCCTCCTTCCATAACTCAGAGGCTCACGTGGGGAAAGGGCAGGGAGTCAGCGAGATAAAGCAAAACGTCCCACTTGGCGAGGGAAGCCCCGGAGGGTGCTTTCGTCACGCCAGTAACACCCGTTCCTCCACAGCAGCGGGATCCCTGGAGACAAATGGCAGAACTGCTCTTCAGTCCTGCCAACACCCAGGAGCATCCGCTGTATGCCAGCCTAGGCCGTGTGTGGGGAACCCAGACTGGGAGGCACAAAGGGCTTTTGCAAAGTGACTTCCCTCCAGGAATCTCCCACAGCCCTCCACTGATGGCCACCTGTGCCCCTCTCTCCCTGCCCACGGCCACCACACACACTGACCCCTCTGGCACACTCCAATCTTGGTCCTGCCCCAGGGCCTCTTTGCATATCTTGTCATCCAGCCTGTAAGGCTCTCCTCCAGATGTTTGGTTCTCACAGGGTCACCACTGTTCCTAGGACATCCAGGGCTTGCTGTGGTCCCAGGCCGTGCCGGGAGTCGCTTGTGAGTGTGGCCTGGGCTGAGGGTACTGCTGCATGACCTCACTCCAGCACCAACTCTGGGTCCTTCCTGTGGCCTTGAAGGGCTTCCGGTCCCCTGGGGCTCCATGGGGCACTGAGTGCAGGAGGCAAAACCCGCCCCATCTGTCCCGAGGGAGAGGGCGGGTGGGCACTGGGGCCTGGGGTCTCCATGGGGTTTCTCGTCTGGCCCGAAGCTCTCTCTGAGCCCGTCACCACCTAACCGGAAATGATGCCTTTCCTGGTTCCCTCCTCAGACGAGACTTGCAGTCCCAGAAGGCTCTCGGGACCTGGCCCAGACCCACGCTGACCTGAGGTTTGTCTCCTCGGCCTTCATTTCTTAGGTGCCTTCAACCCTCTAAGCCTTGACCCCCAGAACCAAAACTCCCTCCAGTGGACACCATGCCCGGCCCAACTTCATGATAAAGTGATAAACTGGGCCAGACCCACCCAGCAGCTGAGGCCCTGGGTATGTTCTAGTCCAGTGTCCCTACTTCCCGCGGTTAGCATCCGAGGGGACTAACGGGGCACCTCTGAAACTGAGAAGGGAGGGGGAGGAGGAGGGGAAGGGACAGGGCTTCAGCAGTTGGCTTTATTTTCCTTCTTCCAAACTGGGGGTGGAAGGAACTCCGGGCCTTGTGCAGTCTATGCCTGCAGCCCACCACAGAGCATGCGTGTTTGCCCTGCTGAAAGAAGTCCCCTGGGTATTCCTTTAGCTTTGCAAAGATTTTTTTTTTTTAAATTCTATATATCAACAGGTCTGCGTTGTAGGAAGTTGTTTTAAAACTCAGGTACACACAGATGAAGCTACAGCACCCACTTAAATCTTTCAGCTTTGTTTTTTAAAGTGGAAAAGAATTAGGGGGAGGCAATGGGGATTTCGCAGAGGGGCATGCATGTTTCGTTTTTCATTGCTGGGGATCGAACCCAGGGCCTTCACACAGAGCCACCTCCCCCCTCATCCCCTCTTTATTCTTTCACACAGGATCTTGCTAAATCACTAAACTGCCAAGACTGGGCTAGAATTTGTGGTCCTCCTGCCCCAGCCTCCACGGCGCTGGGGATGGCCGGCCTAGTGAAAGAGATACGGAATTGTAGACAAAGGCAATGGTGAGAGAGAGAGCAAAGAGTGCAACAGAAAACAGAAAACTAAACGGAAGCATGAGAATTCTAGAGAAACAAGAGTTGAGGGCTAGGGATTTAGCTCAGTGGTCGCAAGCACAAGGACCCGAGTTCGATCCCTGGTACCAAAAAAAAAAAGAATTTTGCCACCCTTTTCTTGGATTGAGCAAAAACCAGGAACTGTGGGAGACAGCAGAGAAGAGTGAGAAGAAAGGAATGTGACAGAATGAGGAATGTGGAAAGGAGGGATGGCGGCAGAGACAGAGAATTTCGGGAGAGCACAGAGGACTGGGCCACTCCCAGGCCTAAGTGTGAATTGCTAACGGACCTCCGGGCTGGTGTCCGGAGAGAGACTTCCCTGCACCCATGGTCACAATGATCGATGCGGTTGTGAGGTTGTCTCTCGTCTCATAGCGAGGAAACCCTGCAGCCGAGGAATTCTGACTCTGCGCTGCCATTCTCCAAGATCAAACGTTAGCTAAAGATAATTCAGGGGGCTCGTTAGCTAGGCCCTGCAGATAGCACAGGTGGCTTGTTAACTGGGACCCGTCCTTCACAAGCAAACAGCCCCTGCCCTCTGGGCCCATCCCTGCATTAATTCTGCTGTTCCCCATGCTATGTGGTATAAACTGACTAATCCAGAGCTTGTGATCTCAGTCAGGGCAGGGCTAAGATCAAAGAGTCTAGCTGGGCATTTAGCTCAGTGGTGCAGCAGCCTACCTCGCAAGCACAAGGTCTTGAGTTCAATCCCCGTACCAAAAAACAAATAAACGAAAAATGGTCTTTAGCACAGGCTAGAGCTAGAGACCAATTCCAGGCTCCCCCAAGTAAGAAACTATGGCTTGTTATTCTTTATTCCTTGTTCTGTGTATATTATTCGTTCCTCTCCTGCTGTCCCCTCATCAGGCGACCAGGCACCCATCCCCCCATGACTGGGCAGGCTATCGACCCAACAGGGAAGCATAAAAAATAAAATTTAAATTTAAATTAAAAATGAGGAGGTAAAAGAGAGGAGCTACATGAATGACTTCCCTGTTTTGTTATTGTTGTCTTCATCGTTACTTTTGGTTCCAGGGATCGAACTCAGGGCCTTGTGCTTGCGAGGCAGGCATAGAGCCACTGAGCTAAATCCCTGGCAATGCTTATTTTTGTTTTGGATCTTTCTTCCCTTTTTCTAAAGACTGTGAAAATATTCATCCCTTGGAGTAGCAGACCAGACAAGAGCTTCCTGGAAAGGAGGAAAATAAGGAAGGATCTGTAGGAAAATGGATGCACCTCGAGACCGTTATGTTCCATGAAATAAATCAGACACACATTATCGAGTGGTTTCTCTTCGCTGAGAAATCCAAAATATATATAAAGAGCAAACTAAAAGGTAGATAAGAGGAAATAAGGAGGCAGATCTTTTGCAAAAAAGGAAAGAGGACCAAGACATGGAGAGAGGGCTGCAGGGAAGGGGAGGAAAAGGAATTCAGATGTGTCAGGTACTGGCACCACCTTCCCAGGAGGAATGTCATCGTTATGTACCGTGAACATGAACCAAAAAGTGAAAATTGAAAAAACACCATGAAAACAAATTCTAAATATACGGAAGGCCTGATGGATGCAGCTTTTCTGTGGTGATTGTGGTGGGGCCCGGGGCAGATTTGAGTCACTTGTTGTTGTTGTCTGTAATTTTTATTTGACTCTCCGAGATTGGTTCAGTCACTGAAAACTACCAGGACTCCAGTGTAAAAAGCCAAGTAATTCCTTATGATGTTTCCAGGCTCGTTCTGCAAGTTGTACTGGTAACTGCTCGTGCTAACAGCAGCTCTGAATGCTGAGTTATTTGTGGATGACATGAGACTCTGCATAGAAGACCCCACAGACTCCACCAAAAGACTTCCAGATTTGATAATCAAATTCAGTGCCACAGCAGGATACAAAGTCAAACGCAAAAGTCAATAGCGTTCCTGTACACGAATAATGGACTCACAAGAGAAATTAGGGAAACAACCCCCTTCACAGTAGCATCCAAAATAATGTAATACTCAGGAATCAATCTAACAAAGGAAGTAAAGGGCTTTTACATCGAAAGCTGCAGTACTCTGAAAAAGGAGATCGAAGAGGATATCAGAAAACAGAAAGATATCCCTTGTTCTTGGCTAGGAAGAACCAAAATAGTGAAAACGGCCATACTTCCAATATTGTTACTCAGATTTAATGCAATCGCAATCAAAATTCCAACAGCATATATCACAGAATTAGAAAAAACAAACCTAAAATGCTCTTGGAACCAGAAGAGACTTAGAATAGCAAAGGCAATTCTGGGCAACAAAGGCAAGTCAGGGGGCATCGCAATCTCTGACCTGAAATCATACTACAGAGCTACTGTGATAAAAAACAAACAAACAATCAGCATGGTATTGGCAAAAGAACAGACCTGAGGATGAATGGAACAGACTAGAAGATGCCCAGACACACTCAGCCACCTAGGCTTTGACAAAGGAGCCAAACACCTTGACTGGAAGAAAGATAGCCTTCTTAATAATTGGTGCTGAACAAACTGGCTTTCCACAAGCTGAAGACTGAAACTAGACCCATATTTTCACCATGCACTAACCTAAAATCAAAATGGATCAAAGATCTAAATATTAAAACAGAAACACTAAACCTGCTGGAAGAGAGAATAGGTAGAACGCTTGAGGACATGGGAGTAGGCAAAGACTTCATGAATAAAACCCAGACCGCATGGGAAATACTACAAAGAATCAACAACTGAGACCTCATCTTATTAAAAAGTTTTTGCATAGCAAGAGAATCCACCAACAAAGTCAAAAGACAACTGTCAGTGTGAGAAAAAAGTTTTACCGGCTGTCTCTGACAAAAGACTACTATCTAGAATGTCTAAAGAACTCAAAAAAATCACACCCCCCAATTTAAAGAGCCAATCCAAAAATGAAAAAATGTTTCAACATCATGGTCATTTGATTGGTTTTTTTGGTTTTGGGGTCTTTGTTTGTTTGTTTTGGCACCAGGGATTGAACTTGAGACCTTGTGCTTGTAAGGCAGGTGGTGGAACTACTGAGCTAAATCCCCAGCCATCACTGGTCGTTTGAGACATGCAAATTAAAACCATGCTGAGGTTCCATCTCACTCCAGAAAGAAAGGCTGCTATCAAAAAATCAACCAACAGGACCAGAGGTTCAGCTCGGTGGTGCCGCCTGCCTCACAAGCACAGGGGCCTAGTTTGATCCCCGGTACAAAAGAAGAAAAAAGAAATCAACCAGTCACAAATGCTGGAGGGGCTGTGGAGAAAAAGAACCCTTCTCCACCACTGAAGTGAGTGTAGACTGGTGCAACCACTTGAAATCAGTGTGGAGATTTCTCAAAAACCTGAAACTAGAGGTTCCACTTGACCCAGCTATTCCCTTTCTTGGTATCTTTCTGAAAGAATTAAAAGCATCATGCCACAGAGATATATGCACACCCACATTAATAGTGGCACAGTCTGTAACAGCTAAGTCTTGGAAACAGCCCAAATACCCATCAACCAATGAATGGATAAAGATGTGTTGGGATGGATAGATACACACACACACACACACACACACACACACACACACACAATGGAGCACTACTCTGCCACAAAGAAGGACGAGCTTTAGACTTTTATAGCTAAATGGATGGACCTTCAGACCATATTCTTAAGTGAAATAAATCAGACGTACACATGTTTAAATACCACACAGTTTCTCTGGTGTGAGAATCCTAACGTGGGAAAAAGGACTGAAAAGTGTAACAGATATTTGGAAGTGAAAAGAAAATGTTCAAATGGGAAGGGGAACAAGGGAGGAGGAGGGAAAAAGGACGGAAGGGACAAGAAAAATGTGGAAATAGAAGAAAAAAATGGAAGCAAAGCTTTTGCACATAGGGAGGGGATCTCAGGAGAGTGGGAGAAGACGAAAAGAGGTGGGTTGTATCAGCTACAAGTGCAAATTCCCTACGATGAATGTTGTTATTATGTATGTCTAAGATGTACCAATAAGTACTGCGATAAAGAAATAAAACAAAACTCACCAAGGAACCCTAAGACAGAGGAGTACGTTACCAGACATTTACTTCATGAGTTGCAAGCTGAATTCTATAAAACATAAATTGTGCTACCAATTGGAACTATAAGGATACCTCAGTCAATTTAAGATTCTGAAATGAAAGACCAAAGAAAGGACCAGGGATGTAGCTCAGCGGCACCGCACCTGCCTGGCAAGCACAAAGTCCTGAGTTCGATCCCCGGTACTGAAAAAAAAAAGACAAGATTCTAAAATCAAACTCTGAGATGAAAGTTATAATCTCCGAATTTGAACTACTAATTTTTTCTGTTTTGACTATATCCTAACAAGAAAACAGTTTGGAGTTTTTTGGCATGTGTTTTCTGTTTTTCTTTTTTTGGCTTTTCTGAAATAAGGCCTAAGTTGCCTGGCCTGGCCTCGAACTTGCCACCCTCCTGCCCCAGCCTCCCACACAGCCAGGGTTACCAGTGTCTGCCACCACGCCCAGCTGTAGCACCAAGTAAGTACCCTGTGCTGCCTCTGGGCAGTTGCCCCTTCGGCCAACACAGCAGGAGAACGTCATTTCTGAGCCTCACACTCAAATGAGCACACCCGGGGGAGTGCGTGGCTGGGGGGCAATCCTGGCCGGACAACACACTGGAGAATGGAGCATCTCTGTCACAGATCTCCACACGCACCTTGGGATGGGGCTGAAGCACACAGCTGCCTTGATGGCCCACGTTAGGGTTCCGCGGGGCACTGAACACAGCGGCTCCGAGAGCCCAGGAAAGATGCGAGGAGCCAGCAGGAGCGCACCACACCCCAGGCAAGCTGGACAGGTTCACCTGCACCTGTAACCTGAGGGAATCTGGTGCTGACATCCACTTCCTCCCAGCAAACGTGTTACCACGTATTCAAAGTCCCAGCCAGCCAAACTGGAAACCAGTTATGAATAGACTGCAGTGCTTAATAACTAAGCAAAGGCACCACTAAAATATTAAAAGGGGAGGTGAGAGATGAAATGTAAAACCTCCCAGTTACATCTGTGAATGCTAAAAGATTTCTAAGGAGCTGGGTATGGTAACACACCCAGGAGACTGAGGCAGGATGATCTCAAATTTGCAAGTTCAAGCCCAGCCAGGCCTTGCCTCAAAAGAGGATGAGGATACAGCACAGGGCAAAGGCCTTGGGTTCAATTTTAGTACCACACACGCACACGCACACACGGATTTCCCAGGGAGGGAACACTGCAGAGTTACCTTCAGACAGTATGCTCAGGGCCTCGTCGGAAGTGTGCCCGCCGACGTTCACTACCTTGCTGGAAGCCGGCTTCTCACCAGGCACACAGGAGCTCTCGGGGGGCTGGCAGGGCCACTCGGCAGCCGAAGTTGTCACGGATTCCCATTGGATCGGCATCTTGGGGGACTGGAAATCCAGGCAGCACCCTGTCCAGCCGTGAAAGGCCAGGGACAAGAGAAATCCTTGTGCTGGGTTCAGGATCCCCTGGGAGGGAGGAAGACATAGACACGTGTGTCAGGTGAGCCAGAGGGACGAAAGCCACTCCAGATGGCCCAGGGCCAGCCTCCTTCGCACAGACCACTGACTTGGCTGGTTTGAGCAGGACAAAGACGAGCTGCAGTGGGTCTTCGACGGTCCTAGAGAGAAAGGTGGTGGGCAGAGGGACGGGAGGCAAGGGAGGGAAAGAGGCAGGGGAGGGACAGAGGAGGACAAAGCTGGAGGGTGCTGGCAACAGGAGAGGAGACAGGAGGCAAGGGAAGGAAAATGGGGAGAGGAACGCAAGCTTTGAGGACAATGCGCCAGCCGTGTCTCCTGTGCCTTCCACCTGGCACCAGGGGGCTTGGGGCCAGTATCCCTCCACTTGTGCGTGATAAGCAGTGAAGTTCACCAAGGAACCCTACAGGGCTCCAAACCAAAGCACCGAGACCCAAGGGGCAGCTGGGACAATCTAGCTGGATTGTCAACCTGATGAGCTGGAGACTGCCTAGGGCACCGTGGGAAGCGTGCTTTTGTGTGTGTCTGGTGGTCACGGATATGTGAGCTTGGAGTCTCTGTCTGGTCCCTGGTTCCTTCCTCTCTGGCGCTGTTCCCCTGCTCTGCTTGCTGGCCTCCATGAGCTAAGCAGCTTTGCTCCCCCAGGCCCTTCCGCCATGATGTTCCTGCCTTGGAGCCGGCTGACCATGGACTGAATCCCCCGAAACCATGAGCCAAGTTAAACCTCTTCTCCTCTACATTTTAGGTATCAGGTATTTTGTCCAGCAACAGGAAAGCTGAATGACACACCTCACGAATCCGATTTTCTCCAAGTCAGAAGCAATACCATACTAAGACTGTACAGCTGAGAGTACAGCTTTCTACCAACAGCTCGTATTATAGCTGTGATGGAATGGAAACCCTCATTACAATGTCATGGATTTCCACCCAGTACTACAGTATTTTATGTAACAGTAATATAAATTTATCTGTCACTTTCCCCACTTAATAATACAGCTCATCATTGTCATTTTTAACCTCTGGATAATGTTCCTTCAAGAGGAAGACCAGGGACTGGGGGTGCAGCTCAGTAGCAGAGCATCTGCTTAGCATATGCAAGGTCCTGGGTCCCTCCCTAGCACCACTCCCTCAAGGAAGATTAAAGACTATAAATGATTTAATTCTCCCCACTTTGTTTTAACATTCTTTTGTGTGGGGGGTTGGCTTTATCTTTATCCCTATGCCTTTGTCATAGTTAAAAATATCCTCGTAAGATAAAACCTCTGAGCTGGGCATGGTGGTGCACACCTATAATCCCGGCCACCTGGGAGGCTGAGGCAGAGGACAGAAAGTCCGGGTCCCACCTGGACAACTCAGCAAGACCCTGTCTCAAAAAAGCATAAAGGGGATGGTATGTAGCTCAGTGGCAGAGCACTTGATTGGCCTCAGTGAAGTCCTGAGTCCCATCCCGAGTGTGTTAACTACTTTGCTCATCACTGAGACAAAATATATGACACCCAAAATTAGAGGAGAAAGGGTTTATCTGGCTCACGGTTCATAGAGATTTCAGTCACAATCGTCTGGCTGCAAGGCAGAGTGGCACACGGCAGAGGGATATGGCAGAGAATAGTGTGTGGCACCCACACGGTAGCAAAAGCAACAAGAGACCTCAACAGCGTCTTTCTGCCCCTTTTATCCCATCCAGAATACGGGGTTTAGGGCAGAGCCAAGCCAATGGCTTACGTGCAGTGCTTTAGTAATCACATGCCCTGAATCCTAGCATCACACATTCCAGATTCAGCCATCTGTTTTTCTTTGTTTTGGCACTGGGGATCAGACTTGGGACCCTGCATTTGCCAGGCAGGTGGCAGAACCACTGAATTAAATCCCTGGCCCCAGATTCAGCCACCTCTGGAAAACAATGTATGAGGCTTTGAGGGGACATCTAGACACAAGCCAGAGAACATTCAGTAACACCGAAAAAAGGAGGGGAAGAGACAGATTTAAAGGAGAGTGGCCTACCATAATAAACCACGTGGTCTTAGCTGCGTTTCCGATGCGTCTCAAAGACTCTCCCTTGATATCTGGTTGCATCTCAAGGTAGAATAAAAGGCTTTCGTTGATGATATTGGGCAACCAACTGTTAGAGGAAATGGGGCACAGGGGAAGAGAACATACAATAAAGTCTCACTTCCAGGCTCAGGGGCAGGGAGTAGTTTCTACAGCCTGAAGCACAAACTCTCAGAGGAGACCTCAGCACCCAGGCTTGAGTAAATTTAATGTTTTCTAAGCTGGGCATGGCAGCGCACACCTGTGATCCCAGCCCTCAGGAGGCTGAGGCAGGGGGGTTGCTGTCAGTTGGAAGCCAGCCTGGGTTCCATAGCGAGTTCAAGCCAGTCTGAACTCGAAAAACAAAAGAACAAACATTCTCTAGACATTCCTGAGTTCTGGGCTTACTTCCCTGTCCTCTGTGTGCTTCTTCCACAGGCACCAAGCGAGGACTCAAAAGCAACCCTCTGGCCCCTTCCCCTGGGAAACCCCTGGTCACACCTGGCAGAGCAGAGGGAGGAGTGGGGGGAGGAAGAAAAGTTACCAAGCAGTTAAGACCAGCATGACTTTGAAAAATCGGATCTTGATCATGGCCCCCATCCGCCGCTCATTCTCCGTGTAAACGCCTTGTCCTCCTTTCAGTAAGGACGCCACTGTCAAGAACACAGGAGGACTTCAGTGTCCCTTCCTCGTGTGGACCCCGTCACCAAGCGGGAAATCCGGGTGGACGCAGCCCCCCGGCGGGGCAAAGGGGGCCACTGGGGCAGCCCCACAGCCTCCCGCTCCAGCGGGTGCCTCACGGGTTCTAAGTGATCCCTCACCACGGCCTCCGTGAGGATGTGAGCTTCAGGCTGACTCAGCACCAACAAGTCCCGCAGACCTGTCCTCCTCACCCAGTGGTTCCCTGTGTCAGCCTCAGACACCACCACAGGACCTGTGTCACGACTAAGGAAACAACACTGACGCAGTACGAACTGAACTCCTCGTTTCATTTGGACTTTACGAGTTCAGGTACAGTTTTTGGTTCTTTTTTTTTGGACACAGGGTCTCACTACAGAGCTTGGGTTGACTGTGAATGCACAGCAATCCTCCTCTCCCAGCCTCCAGAGCGCTGGGATTACAGGGCTGCTTCACCACGCCCAGTTTTAGCTACTGTATTTCTGAAGCTTTGTTTTCTATTACAAAATTATGCACACCTGTCATTTTAAAAATACCGAAAAATGTAACATTTCTCTTTACAGACATGTTAGACTGCATTTAAAAGTTCAGCAAAACATTCAAGGCTTTGGGCCAGGGATTTAGCTCAGTGGTTCTGCCGCCTGCTTCGCAAGCACAAGGTCCTGAGTTCAATCCCCGGTAC